AGTGCCTTTTTAATGACACCTGAAGTCATTCGGTAAGCTTAAGCATTTGTGCCGCCAGTGAAAGTTTGCAGCTTGCAACGAGCAGACTAGGAAGTTCATTTAAAAAAAAAAACCCGAACCATTGACCACATTTTTTGGTGATTTTCAAAAGGGGTGAGATGGCTTAATATTGGTCATGTCGAGTTTTTAAAGCATCAGGAACAGTTATCCGCAAGTGTAAACGTAAGTTTTGAGGTTCTTAAGTACTGCAATTTAATTTAATTTTGATAAAATTGTACTAAAAATTAAAGGGTTGCTTAATTTCATAATCAAGCTGGAATGGTGGAGATATTTTGTCTTCTGCCCCAAATAAGTAGATTCTTTCACACAAGCGAAGTCAAAACGCTTAGGTTGTTTTTTGGGGACTATGACTAGCCGGGGGATAAATGTTGAAGTAAAATTTGCCTTGGAGCTAGTCACGGAACCGAGCGATTTCTTCTGCCTCCCCCAAGGACTCCCCCATGGACATTTACATGCCGCCCACATGAAGTTATGCCATAACAAAGACGTTGCACATAGGACTACTTGGATATGCATAAAACTATGCTACATTGGCACTAAAACAAACAGCAAATGGGGATTGGGATAGGAATGGGATGAGGGGATGAGGCTGTGGATGCGGATAAGGACATATGACCATGTGTGGGTGTGTATATTTAGTAATGTAAAAGATGCTGTGTGACAAGACGATGACGATGCTGATGAAACATGCCAAGGCAAAGGTAAAGCCAACTGGGTACTAGCATCCAGGGATGGAAGATCGGAAAAGAATCTCGGAATTGAGATTAAAAAGATGTTTTATAAAATTGTTAGGACCGAACTAAAAGTACTTTGTTGTTAACAATATGACAAAGATATGACTTTGTCTTAGATAAATCAGATAAATAATCAATCCGATCTTATTTTGCTTTTAAACCTTATAATATAATTATTAAAAACTACAGAAAAACCTTTAACAGTTCCATTGAAACTTAAAACTAAACGTGAAAACCTATGTAACATTCAGAGCTCTTAAATAATAAATAGTTACAAATAAAGCAATTGAAAGTTTCAGTTGGCTGCGAAAGTAGTCATCTAAAGATGAAAGTTGATAAAGTGAATCAATTTGCGAATGGAACTAGATCAAAGGGTCATCCAGCTCAGGGCCTCCGGTTGAACTGGCTTTTCTATCTCCCTGCACCTGCCATCCGAGAGGGCTTTTATGTTGGCTAAGTAAATGTTTAAAATATTTGGGTTGCCAGCCTGCTGCTCCTGCTGCTCCTGTTGGTCCTGCAGCGCTCCTGCCAGTGCTACTGCTCCTGGTGCTCCTGCTGCTGTTACACGTTCTCGTAGTTGAAGTTTTGCGCCCAAAATTATTAAGATGAGTGGCATAAATTATGAGCAGACCAGCAGGCCCTGCACAGGACTCGTAAAAGCCGCTGGCATATAATCCTTGGGGATATGGGGTATGGGGGTGGATTGTTTGATGAGTGAATGACTAACTGCATGACAGTTTAGCCATCGTGAGGGTGTGGGTGTATATATGCCAGTGTGTATGTATGTGCTTCTGGGCGAGGCTGATCACTTTAAGTATTGACAACGTTGGACTGCATGGCGTATACGTAATGTGGGTCCTTGTGGCTTGCCAGTGGTCGGGGGCCCCTGGCAGTTAGTTTAATATTTATTTAATTTAATATGCTAATTGGATGTGATCTGCGTGTGTGTGTGTGTGTATGTGTACTGCAACTTTACGAGCGAACAATTCATAAATAAATGAAAGCGTCGAAAGTTTTCACATGTCAACGAATTGAGTTTGTGCTTGAGTTTTGCCTGCCAACTACTGCGCCAATGACTTTTATAAATCGTTTATAAAATTTGCCACCAAAGACGGGAAATGCTGTCAGGGCAACTTCTGCCGCAAGTCGGCAGCCACAGGCGACGACAAATTGTTTTTGCGATAAAATAAGACAAGTGACACGCGGCCCTAATCGTTTGGGGGCCGTTGGGCGTTGGGCGTTGGGTGTTGGGCCAATGGGCGTGGCCAGTTGCAACCTAAAAGGCTGCCACTCCGTTAACGTTAATTATATCAGAGTGACTGAGCCGGAAGGGCAAAATGTTGAGAGGGAGCAGCTTGGAAGGAACTAAAAAGCGGAAACGGAAACCGAGAGAATATTGTGAAAAACTTTTGAGCTGACCGCTCCAGAAATTGCATTTAAAGTATGGAAAAGCAGCAAATGCATTTCCCTCCGACGACCTCACTGTTCTGCATTCAGCAATCAAATTGAATTTGTCAGACGACATAAATAAATGGTAAATCAAACGAATTGCAAACTCTCCTGTCAGCGGGAAATGAAATTGCATGCCAAAAAGTATGCAATGAATTATATGTGAGTAACCCGAAAATAAAACCAAACTATAACAACTCCAAAAATGGGTAGCAAAAACTCGATCTGGGAATGAAATATATATATATGTATATAACGATGTATATTGAAAGTATAAAACAAAATTCGAAAGCTTTGGGGAAATATTTTGCAGCAACTATAGAGTGCACAAAATTGAATGAATTGATGAAAAGTGATGAGGAATGCTTAGTTTGTGCGAAGGATTTGACAAGGCAATCAACTTTTTGGAGAAGTTATGAAAACTCTATACTACTATTTTATAAAGCATAAACTTTGATCGAGTGTGGAAATTAAAGTGAAAGATAAGCTTCTTATGGGATGCAAATTAAATAGTTTTCTCAATAAATTATTAAAGAATATATGGTTGTTTGTTAAGTTTGTTAACCAAGAGAGATAAAGTACTTTTTAAACACATTTATATTTGTAAAAACCGCTACCCGTTTTGCATATAGTAATGGCTTCTATAGCCATATGTTGGCCTTTTTGCCGGGCCTTGCTCCACTTAACTACAGAGCATCCGACTGCCTCGTAAATCCGACTTTCTCTTTGTTTATAGCTGCAGCTGCCTCTCCGCCCGTTGCTGAATTTTCACATATGAAGCACAAATAATATGAATTTAAATTGGAGCCATGAAACAACGAAAAAAAAAAGAAAGGGGGCAGTGGCAGGGTGGCAGTGGGGAAATAAAGGAGAACAGCTCGCTGAACTGTGAAAAGTAGACGGGAAGTAGCGAAAATGATGCACACGCACACACGAAATGCGAAAAGCGACAAGCTGGCAAAGTCACTCAGTCAGTGGGTGGCAAGATGGGATGGGTGGTGGCACGATGGGTGCTATGTAGCATATTGAACTTGTCAACATGACAGCGGAGCGGAACCGAAGCCCAGGAAAATGAATGAATGTATGAATGAGTGACTGAATGGAGGAGCAAGTGTGTGCGTAAAGTGATTCCCGATAGTGTAAAATGTATGCAAAATATATGCACACCGAAATCCAGCGTACCAAACAGTGGAACATCCTGCGGCGCCAGGAGAAAGGATCCTGAAGTACAGGACTTGTTGAGCTGAGCCAGCGTTACTCACGCTCATCATGCTCCCCCATTCCTTTTGTTGCACCACCAACAGCAGTAGCATTCAGTAAGAAATTGCAATTGCTTTGCGCAAACTGACATTGACAGCCCCCCGGCTGGCAAAAAGTGGGGGGTGGCACTGCGGCTGGCCTGCCACTCTGTTGCCCATCAATTTGAATGACATTCACAAACAGCCCTCCTCTGCCAGCAAAATGGTAAGGAAATTCTGCAACTGTAACTGCATGCACGACGACGACGACGACGACGACGAGGAACAAGAAAATTGTGACATTTGTATAGAAATAGTTTTGCAGTTGTAGCAAATAGTTTTGCAGACATTTTTTGATTGCCGCATACTTTAAGCCAGCGAGCCAGTCAGTCAACCAGAATGGATGCCTGCAGCTCTCACAACTGGCAAAGGGGCTGAGAAATTGTTTTGGCTGGATTTGGTATTCCTTTCTTTCTTATTTTTTTTTTTGGTTGGGCTGCCTAGGGGCTCCTTGGGGCTCGTTTACTCCTTTTCTTTGATGCGGCTTCATGAAGCTGCTAGTAATAAATCTCTCTTCATACGAGAGAAGAGCCTCATCTGCGGCTTTAATATTAATTTCAGTAATTTGTTATGTTGGTGAAGTAGGTTGACTGGTTGTTAATAGTTTTATATGGCTAGAGGCGCTTGGGGTTTGTTCAATTTTCTGCCAAATAGGCCAATATGTAACTGAAGATAAACATGTTTAGTTTAAATATTAATAGTATTTATTTCCCTAAAAGCCTCTGCAGTTATTACTATTCACTTAAAGTGCACTCAAGATGACACTTGCTTAAGCTTCATGCATTTATTATTTTTATGGCTGAAATAATTTAAGTCCCCAGAGACTGAGTATATGGTTCTTAAGTAGAACTGCTGGAATATTCGGGGAATTATCTTGGATGGTTGGCTGGCTACTCGAACCGAGTCTTTGGTTGTTTTTGTTTTAATAACCCAGCGATTATAGTGGATTACATGAACATACCCTTCATTATCAACTTATAGTCGAGCAAGCTCTATGCCGGCTGCTTCGACGTCGTCTTCCTCATGAGTTGGCATCCGTTGCCTGCGCATTTGCCGCATTTTCAAAAGGTTAATTTTCCAGTTATCAAATAAAAGGCCAGGCATACTCTCTCGTGCTGGTGGAAACCTAATGGAAAAGTGGAGAAGGAGGATGCAGCAGCAGCAGCAGTTGGCTGTTGGCTGTTGGATACACATGCTTGGCAAATAGTTTTGACAGGCACCGGGGAAATGGGCGGTGAAAAAGAGGAGGCAGGGGGCAACGATGGTGGCCAAAGCCGTTGGCATCCTCTTACGTACATGAGTATTTTCCATAGCATTTTTCTTGTAATAATTTTTGCTTTAACCTTCCTGGCATGCAGTTCACAGCGAATGTGAGCCGAATAACAGGGCCTGGGAAAAGAGCGCTTTGCATTTCAGCATTTTGCTTGGCTGCTTTCGGGCCAACGTTTATATTTTATTTTTTATTTCGTATTTTAATTTTCATTCGCATCATATTGCTGAAACACTGCATTAAACTAGGAAATTGTCTTAAACTTAGGCTCTCTCTCTCTTGAATTTAATTCTTCTTCTCGGTTAGATTGTAGATTTGCTTGGCAACATCCGATAGCTGAACATCAATGGCCTTGGTATCGTCGTATAGTGACGGTGCCTCTCCCAGGATCACAAATGTTCCCACGAGGGAGGCGATCATGAAGAGCCAGAGGAACAGGCGATCCATGACCATGGCCACGAAGCCCCAATCCTGGTCTTCCTGTAAAAAATAAAAAGCAAATGTTTTTAATTATATAATAAAAACCAGAAATTGGAGGTATTAAAACTTGTTAAGTTTAGTGAAATAATTATAAAAATCCTGCCATTGATTTTGTTTTATAAAGAATTTCGTCCTTTTTGTCTGATATCCAATTGGAAGCCGCCCGCATGCAGGACGGTTAATTGCGCTTTAAGCCCACACTTTGAGCGATTGGCTTTCATTAAGCACTTCGCTTAATCTACTTATGCCCCAGCAGCATCAGTTTGGTTATCAATCAAAGAGCGAAATCGCAGCGGCAACAAAGCAAAGCCCGAAAAAATAAATGGCTCAAAAGGGCCAAAATACAGAAAGGAGGGACCAAGGGCAGAGGGGCAAAAAAAAAAAAAAAAGAATCGTGAAAACCAGACGCCGCAATCACACAACAAAGAACATTTTCGGGGGGGAATTTGATTGAAACGTTTTGCTGAACCCGCTGATGAAGAGATGAAGTGGGTGGATTGGCCAGGATGGTTGCCGGCTGGCTGCTGTGCCAATTGCCAGTCAATTGAACAAAAGCAATTAAAAGTGGATTTGCCATAGCTGTCTTAAAGTGCAAATATGGCAAAAGCTTAAATAAAGTCGACAAAAGAAGGAAAGCCAATGCCTTCCGAGAGATCAGACAGTGAGTGGCCAGTGGCTAGAGTGGCCACTGTTCAGCCGGATAAACGTGAACTTCGGATCCCGGCAAACGTAACCCGGGGAGAACCGTTCGCCGGCAAAAGCGATTTTTGCGGTTTCCTTCTCCGGTTGCGCTCGTGGACAAACGGAATTTCCAATTAAAAATTCAATCAGCTGCCGGACTCACCGCATTGAACTCGTCCTGGCGCTGCATGTGATGCTGTATGAACATGACGTTGTGTATGGCCTTTTCCAGCTCGAAAGGATACTTTTTGCGTGCGGCCACATCGCTCAAAGAGTCGTCCAGTCCCGACAGCACCGATGGCAGTCCGTTGTAGCCGCTCAATGTGCTCAATCCGCCACCCAAAGCTCCCACCAGGCCGCTGAATCTGTAAGTAAGTAAGAGATGACAGGTCTTAACACAGTGTCCTTGTGCCAGGATGTGCAAAGGTGCATGGGTGCATGGAATATATGTTGTTCTATAAGGAAATTCAACTTTATTTTGGGGTTTTCTATACACTTTTTATAGAATTCCAATAAAGTTGAATAATATTTGTTAATTCTGTCCATTTAATATTCCATAATTTATCAATTTAAGCTGCTCTTTAGATTATATATCCCTAAGAACCCTTTAATGTTTATTCACCCCTCATAAGTCTCACCTGTTCGTGGCCGTGGTCACGTGCATGCCATTGCAACCGCCTGCGCCCACTCGACCTTGCATGCGCCGCAGGGAATCCGGACTGGAGCCGCCGGAGTTCATTTGCATCTCGTCCATCAGCGCCTGTCCGAACTTGGTCTTGCTGAACTTGAGGCCATAGTTGATCTTATTGGCGGCCAGGTCACGCAGCAGGTCCTTGGGCACACGCATCAGCAGCAGCTTGGGCAGTCTCTTGATAAAGAACGACCTTATCCAAGGTCTCATCTTGTGGGTACTTGGCTTCCGGTAGTGTATATTCAATATGATAATCGTAATGACAACACTCAGGCCAACCAGCAACATGGTAAACAGTAGATATTTTCCCAGAAGCGGCAGGGCCAGCGAAGTCGACGGTATAATCTCTGATATGAGCAAGAAGAACATGGTCTGCGACAGAAGGATGCTAATACACAGGGCAATCTTCTCTCCGGAATCAGCGGGCAGGTAAAAGACCAGCACCGATAGATATGAGATTCCCACACATGGAATAATCAGGTTAACCGTGTAGAAAAGAGTCTTCCTTCTCAGGGTGATGTTAAAGAAGATGTCTGTACAGGCCAGACATTTAACCAGTCAAAAATCCAAAAAGTCGCGGTAGGAATAGTAAAGCAAAGTTGGAGGAGAGGGTAGGAAAATGTTCAGGGGATGAGTTTGGGTAGAGCTTTCGCGTAATTGCTGGCGATAGGAAGCATTAAACTCCACTAAACTCACCCGGATACGGTTCAGCACAGCACGGATAGTACTTCTCGTGCCGCTCGGCTGGAACTCCCAGAATATCCCATTCCACACTGGGATAATACTCTCGCAAGTCGATGCCAATCTCCACCTTGTTGTCCTTATCGTTCTTCTGGCTGATGTGCTTCAAATCGATCTGTGAATCGAGAAAAGCCCCGTTGATGGAGCCGTTAAAGTCTGACGGTCCTTTGCCCTTTGTCCGGCTCAAAGGCACTTGCCATTGACATCGCACCCACCACCTGGCGCATCCCACCGCTCCTTCAGCCAGGAGCTCTCAAGTGCAGTCGTTAAAAGAGTAGCAAAATTTAAATGCGTTGACAAACGCTGAGTGAAAAAGTGTTCAGGTCCATTCCCTATCCAAAACCCATCCCATACACTGAGAAAAAATGTTTATAGGTTAGATAGCTCATATCTGTAGTCGAGTTCCTTTGATATATCAGCATTAATAGGTGTTTTTGTTATCTAACTACAATAATCTAAGATAAATGACTTATTTTAAGTTAACTAAATGTCCCCGATTATATCTCAATTTCTTTAAGTGCCCTTCTAACCTGTCCCTCTTTTAGCACAAGTCTGAAGGGTCAGCGGAAACGGAAGCTGCTTGGTTTGGGTGGAAGTCGCACTTTGGCTTAATTTATGGCCGCGCATTTTTATGACAGCGACACACACAGTCGAGTGTCTCTGTGTGAGTTAGTGTCGCTCTCTTTCAGCGACAGTGTGCGTGAGTGGGTGACTATGTATGTGTGTGTGCGGCGGTTAGACAAGTTTCAATTACACTTTTACAATTTCTCACATTTTAATCTGCGAGATGCCGACGACGCCTTTTCGATGTTCTTACCGCGTCTTAGGCGTGTAAGTCGCTCTCCCTCATCTCTTCATCTTCTCATCTTGCAGATAAATGGTGGACCATAAATCTTTGGCCACGCCCATTTATCTGAGACTCAACTTACGAGCGGCTGGCAGAAGACAGGAGCCAGAAACCATCACTCACCTGATCACCATCATAGGTCCAGGAGCCGAACTTCATGAAGCAGGTCTGCTGATCGAAGGGAAAGTAACGGACATCAATCTCGCAGCTGGACTTGAAGATGGCTGGAGGGGTCCAAACGACTTTGCCAGTGTAGTGTAGAATGGCTTTTGTCATAGTGGTGACCACATACTCGCCATCGGCACTGTAAGAAATGCGTTGGAAAAATAAAAGAAGTGCATTTTAAAAACTGAAATAAATAACTTTAATTTATGAAGTAAGTTTATCTAAGTCCCTTAATTACAGAAGATTATTTTACCAAGTAATATTTAGAAACTATTTTTCTCAGTACTTTGCCTCCCACTTACTTGTTGTAGAGCACAATGTCGGGCAGCCAGATGTGCTCGGAGGGCACATAAAGTTCCGTGACTCCACCGTACTCCGAGGGATCCCACTTGAATTTATGATCCTGCCACTCGTGCTCCAGCCACACGTTGGTCGTTAGAATTTGATCTTTGAGATTCTGCAAAATTAAGCTTACTTCGTATACACAAACATACATACCCTAAAAAAACTCTACAAACCGCAAAAAAAAGGAAGCGAAAATATAAAGGGAAGTGGAGTTCAGAGACTAAGGCCCAGCCATGCATCAAGGGGGATTTGCATTTTATTCATTTTTCCTTCGCTTTTTTTTTTTTTTATTTTATATCATTTGCACTTCTCGTCCTGCCCCCCGGCTAATGTGCTTTTTGCTGTCAGCTTACGGCTTCTTTTCCTTTTCGGCTTGTTTTATTACCTTTTAAGCCTTCTGGTGGCAGGGAAACCACCCAAAGTGCCAGCCCTGCAGCAGCCGGAATTGCAGTCTCGGCCGCCTGACAAATGACTTGGCCGGGGAACTTTAAGCAACCAAGTACAGACAACGATCCCATACCCATCCCCGATCCCAGCCATGTAATGAAATGTTGGAGTGAAATGTTATAAAAATCTAGTGCTCCCCGTTCGGTTGAAGTTTTTGAGAAATGCCAGCGATTTATCTGGCGGTGGAGAGCAACCAGTGCTGACAGGAATAAAGTTGATGTTGCGAATTGAAATATGCCACTTTAATGCCGTGAATCCTTACACGGAAAGAAATGATTATAGTTATTGGGTTTATGTTTATTAAAAAAGCTTAATCTGAACTGCTAATAGATATTTTTTTTAAAATTTTTATCGATTAACAGACTTAAAGAAGTTCCAAAACAGGATTAAAGGTCTAAGAGGGAATGTTGTTTCGATTTAAATATTTTTATTATTTTCCCAAAAAATATATCCAATAAATTTAGCATGTCTTGATAGATTTTTGACTTCAAAACTCTTTTATAAACTGCTAACTTTTCTCTCTCTGCACTCCCAGAATCCATCCCCGCTTACTTGGCTTTCCCATTATGGCTTCATAGATTCCTCTGTTGCCAGACTTCGATTCGCCTCATTTGTTGCTGTTTATTGTTTTGCATTTTTTTATTTACGAGCCGCAGAAAGTTGTCGCAACTTTTACGCTGTTTTTTCCGATTCTTATACTTTTTTTTGGCAGCAAATGTAGCGAATCGCGGGTGGTAGGTCTTAATTAAAAATATACCCCCAGCCATGGCCCCAGAACTTTGGTGATTGCATTAATTAATTTTACTTACCAAATCGATGAGTTGGGACAGGCGGAGACCCAACTTGACCAGCACCGTGTCGGTGTTATTGCTAACGGGGCGAATGAGGCGGTTGTAGTTACTTAGCAGATCATCATAGAGCCGCTTGGCATCGGGATTGGCTTGGACCGTTTCGCAGAAGAGAAGGAGGACCAGAAGCAGGCATAGCGGCTTGCAGTGACGCCAGATGTGAGCGAGAAGGGCAGCGGGTGGGCGTATTGTGCAGCAGCCAGGAGCCATGGTGACGTCACGGCGGACCAACCAACCAAAAAAAAAAAATGAAGGCCTTGACGTTGGTTCGTTGGCTGGGCGGGCGAGCGGCCGGTGTTTTATTGATGCAAAAAACACGCGCACAGGTTTTTGTTTACCTTTCTGCCTCTGCCACTGCCACTGCCTTGGTTCAGTGCTCAATCTCTGACGCAGTTCGTCGTGCAGAGCGAGTAACTGGCTTTTAGCACATGGCCTAAAAGTGTTTACAAGTCTCCAAGTCTCGCTGCTGCTGATGCTGCCGCTGCCAAAGGATTTTCGATTCGGCGCACTAGTTGAGCAGCTGAAGCCGCTGCGCCCAGGCAGCTGATTTTGTTATTCCTCTGGCCGCCCAAAAATGTATTTACTTAAAAATATTTTTTATATTTTTTCACTAACTAGATTTGATGCTTAAAAATTCTTAAAAATTCGCTAATGATTGTCGAAATTTTTGATAGGTTTTTGTTGCTTTTCCAAACGAACTTTCACTTGTTTTCATCGAGCCTTTGGGCCCTGCTCCGTGCTGTCCTGCATAGATATTCACAGGAATCGTACTGACGGGCGTTTTGTTTTTGTAGCCTGGCCAGGACCTCTGGCAGCCTCCGGTTTGTAGTTTTGTCGCCGGCGGGATTTCGTTCGAAATGTGGCCGCAGATGCTGCGCAGCGCGTGCGTGTTGCGGGTCACCCTGTTATCCTGAGCGAGAGCAATTCTGTTACACATTGTAGTGCCAAGCCCTAGAAGGATGCTCTCTTTGCTCAGATTTCGTGAGATTCTCCTCGAGACTCTCCCCCTTTTTTTGATTTTTGGTTGGAAAATGACTCTCTGAGGAGTACTCTTCGATGGGTTAATCCCTCACAGACTCACCGACTCCATTACAACTTCGGCCAAGTTTTTCGGTGCTCTTTTGGCCGTAGATATTTTTTGGGCTCTCTCCCGCGATTCCGGCGAGCCACAGCCCAAAAAAATTCCCCACAAATACTCCCAGCACACACTTATGCAAAGGAAGCTAGAAAAAAAACGAAAAAAATTAAGTAAAGGAAAGGAAAACTTCACCTATCTAGTCCTACATGTGTACACATACCGCTGCACATTTGGCAAACACTCATACGCCCCGTTGGACCCACATTTCGTTTAACCAGAAACCAAATTTTTCGTAATTGTCAACATTCGTTAAAATCTACGTTAACATGCAGCCTGCCCAGAACCCTCACACACACATACATACACACATACACACTAGCTCTAACACCAACACTAACACACACCTATCAGCACTTGTGCACTTTGCATGTTTAACGCTGCAATGCTGGCTATACTTTTTGCCTGGGTGTTGGTACGGCTCGGTTTTGCATTTCGTTTCGTTTGGTATTTTGCTACGTCTGTTCACATATGTGTCATATTGCGATTTTGAGTTGTTTCTGTGGTTTTGGGTTTTTCCAAACACCCACCCACCCAACTCCTCATCCCACATTTTCGTATCTTTGTATCTGGCTGAAACCGGCTGAATTTTGCCTCTTGCTCCTCCTCCTCCTCCTCCTCTTGCTTTGCCATAGTAATGCGTTCTCTGACGAGGCATCCCATATCAGAGTCCGGATTTTACTGCATTTTGCTGGCGCAATTTAATTACTGAATATTGGAAATGATTGAATTTGCTGGCGTTTTTGGTCGGTTAATTGAAATTAACAAGTTTTCAACGCCGTTGATTCAAGGGAATTAAGCCTTAATTTGTGTATTTCCAGGTTTTTTAATTAAAAACATATTTTTGGATCAGCAACAGCCTTTTTTAGTTACTGATAGTAAAGGAGTATATAAAATTTAATATATTAAATGATTGCAGTACCCAATATCACATGTTTTGAGGGCCTTTAGCTGAATTTAAGCAATAGAATATTTGGAAATCACAATTTTATGGTTGATACATACCAAATTTATTTAATAAAATAAGCCCGCACAGTTCAACCAACTCATGTTGGACTTTAGCAACCCAAAGTCAAAGCCAAAACTTTTGCTTGAGAAGCTGCAAGCTGGAAACCCATTTGTGTTAGGTTTTGTGTCCTGTTGGTCAGTGTTGTGGCCCTAAGCCCCAGCCGAAGCCATAATGATACATGAACTCTGTCATTTGGCCGTGCCGCCATTGAGCCGCGTGTGTTTTATGGCTTTCGGTCATTGAAGGCATTTTTAGCTGCTCGCATTTTCATTTTTATTTTGTTTTTTTTGTCTTGCCAAATTGGTGGCATCAGCATTTTAGGGAAGAAAAAACATTCAATGAGCAATTTATGCGCCTGCTGCCAGGACAACTTTAATCTAGTCTATTAGCTGCTTTATTGCTGTTTTCGTGGCCACCCTTTTTTATTTTCCGTTCTTTATTTATTTCCATTGTTTGAGCCTCATTTGAATGAGCTGCTGATAGGGCCAGGCTCCTCCTAAAGTTGTTATTGCTTTCATTAGCCAACCTATTCGAGACCAGAGTTACATGTGTTTGGATGTTTGCTGGTAACGGGAATGGTGCGGAATGGAGAGGGGATCCTCACGTTTTATTGCCACCCACACCCACACACACACACACACTCGGCACACTCTTCTGCACATAACAAAGCAATCAAAATTACAACAACCATCGTTTGCCACAATGGCAAACAACAATTTTTAGCTTGTTTGCAACTCAAAGTTTTATTTTTATTTTCCTTTTTTACTATTTGAGTTGATGTATTTTTTTCTTTCTTTTTTGGTATTGCGGTATTTTAGCAACAACAGCGAGAAAAGTTTTGTTTTGTGCACTTCGCCTGTTAAATCAACAACAGAAATGGGTCGGCACTGAATTGACTTTGATATACCCTATATAGCTTTATATATACATATGTATTAAGGTGCCATCAATCTGAGCTAGTTCTATCAATCTCCGTGAAATGAAATCTTTGATGTTTTATAACTTGTAGTTTTTAATGGCTTATATCAGCGGGAAGCTGCAGCATTTTCAATGAATAAGTTAACAAAAACATTTTCGATAACAAAGCTGCCAACCCATTGGGCGGCCAAAGTTTAAGTTCAGCCCTCCCCAACACCTGACTTTTCGACTCGCAACTAGCTCCTGACCCAAGGACCCCAGTTTCCTCACCACCCTCTCCCCTTGCCTAGAGCTTTACTTCCTGATTGCAAGAAAACTCAATTAAAATTTAAATTTTCGAACGTAAATGACAAAAGTTTCTCAACTATAAATAATCGGCAGTCGCTCCACTTGGCTTGCTCTTGGTTTTTGGCTTGCCACTTCAAAATCTGACAAAGCCGCGACCAGAGACCCAGTATCAACCCCTGGAAAAACCCCGTAGATGACCCCCTTTGGATCCTCCCACTTCTACATAAAGTGCGTGCGTGGCTGCGTGATCGAAAGTTTTTGTCTATATTCGTACCATTTATCTAACTTTTATGGCAGCCACAGCAGCGGCAACAACAAACGTTTTCCTGCTTTTGGCCAGAAATTAATTGCAAAACTGTTTGGTGTCTCTGTATATATCCCCCTCTAACTGAACGGTTAGATATGTACCTGCACAGAGATAAATAATCGGATTTTTATAGATATTAAGTTGTTTGAAGAGACTTTGAAGAATATTAACTCAGTTTGCCATTACTACACTCATAAGTTTAAGGCCTTCTAAGTTATAAAATTATAAAATCATTCATGTAGTTTTTATGATTTTTAAATTGTTATTTATTACCTATTATTTCCCCTTAAAAATATTAGTATATTAGATAATATAGTTTTAGATTGATTTAAATATTATTATACTACACACCCCTTTCTCTCAGTGCTTAAACTATGTGTGTGAGTTTGGTGGCTTGTTTTTTGGCCATGGCAGGCCAATCACAATGAGCGCTTGCCTGCCACTTGAACAACATAAAACTGATTGCGAAAATCTGTCCCGCGCAACCCTCTCCAAAGCAAAGGGCAAAAAATTTGTCAACGTCGGCGGGTGTATGGGGTGGATTTTTGGGGTAGGAGTAGGGGTTATATTTGGAGCCTGGCCGCCTGCCTGCACAGTCCTTTGTTCATCAATTCGAGGCTGCTGCGCTTGTCGTGCCCATTGTTGACACGTTTAAGTGCCGTTTGCTTTTATCAGCACTGTCCATATCGACAGGCGACAACGGACAGCCGGACAAACGGACAGGCCAAGCCAACCTGCATATAACATTTTTATAACATTTTTAATTGTTTCTGTCGAGCGACTGTGAATCGTGCAAACTCCAACGACGACCCATCAATTTAATGGCATTTTCGCGTGAGCCGCGCCAAAAACCCAACCAAAAAACAACAACAAAAAGAACCGCGACCAAAGAAAATCAAAGCCAGAGGCGAGAACACTCGTAGCTCTTAGGTTCTTGGGTCAATTAATGATGGAGATACCGGGGTTTTTATGATGAGCAGCGACAAGTCGCGTTGAAAATGGAGGCGTATTACACGCCCATTGGTGGCGTGTTTATGACGCCGTAAAATTGCCGCTCGACATAAAAATGTTGCATAGTTTTTGGCCCGCTAAGCGGATGTCATTAATTGCGCATTAGTTTTGTTTTTCTCGGTTGGCCGTGTGAATTTCGCGTTCGCAAATCAAAGGGAATTCAAGTGCAAACGAGGCGTATGCGCAATCTAATTTGCCATTAGCATTGCTGTGTCAGTATTAGTATAGCTGTAAAGTGTAAGCGTAAGTGTATGTGTGCTAGCCCTCGAGGTGATGACTTGGCGGTTCGTACTTGAGTCGCTGTTTGGCTGGCTTAACTTGATTCTTTGACTGCGTATGTGATTAGGATTTAAGTTGAACCGCCCGTCGAGTATCTAGCAAAGTTTTGCCCAAACGACTGAGCCGGCAGCAGCAGCAGCGGCAGCAGCGAATAATATAATATTATTATTATTATAATATTTTCCAGCAATACCAGCAGCTGCCACGCCCAGCAGCTCAAGCTCATGTACACGCCCACACAGTTTTAGGAAGAGGAAAAAGGAGCAAGATGGCTGCTGCACTGAGGGAAAAACTATTGGAAAAATGAGAAATTATACTTGTAGCTTATATTAATATTGTGTATATTTGGAATATTGAGACACTATATTATTGAGATTAATATATACATAAACCATATTTTACCTATCAATTTCTCTCAGTGTCGAATGGTGTGAGTGACGCAGAGTCATCAGGCTTCTGACTTAGCAACTTTGCAGTGACAAGTTTCACTGTCTCGCTTTGAGAGAGCGTTTTACTATGAATACTTTGTCAAGTTTTTGCTTCAGGACCCAGCTCATTGTCGTTGTCATCATCAGCACTTCTACCGCCTCGCAGTCTCGCAGTGCGAAATCTTCGTCTTTAGAATCGCCAAACGTCGGATGGAAAACATGCAAACTAAATTAACTGGTACAACTGGGGATCTAATGATTTTATGGCAGTGAATCAAGTAGAAAGGACTTGAATATAATTTGATAGCCATGGCTAGTATCTATCTTTGTCTGAGTCAATTTTGACAGAAAATCAACAATTTGTCACACTTGCTTCATTATCTGGGGAATATTTTTAGGGGGG